TTAAAACTATATCCAGAGTTTAGTCCCCTCCTTCCCTAAACAATGTCATTCATTGGCCATTTTTTTTTCCATATCCCAATGTGGTACAATAAAAACTGTTTATTTTTAAATCTTTGTAATATTAAAGCACATTTATGTACTAAAAGTGAGAATTAGATTATCCCTATTATTTCTTGTGTTACGTTTTATGCTAAGATAACTTTAAAGTTTCTTCTATTCCTTTTTACTTTACAAGGTCAATTCAGACCTTCAGAAATGCTTTTTTTACTAATATTTTTCAGCACTTTATAGTAAAAATAAAGCATGGGTGTTTGGTTGTTAGTCAGGGTTTATTTTTTAAATTAAAAAAAAACAAAAAACAAAAAAAAAACAGTATAAATTTTAAAAAAATAATAACTCAAAACATTGTAATGAATAAAAAAAATTTAAAAGTGAAGGACAAAAACCTGGGACCAGCCAATTCATGTCTGAACTTCACAGGTTAAGCACATCTCCACTTCGCTCAGACTGTTTCAGCAATCAAGGAATGGTCAGTTGAGATATTGTCATTCTAACAAGACATAACTGTCCAAGTGACTCCCACCCCCAAGAGGTCCCCTCCATGGTACTGGTAACTTTAAAGCTGATACCATACAATTAATATTACAATGAAAATATAATGTTCCATGATAATTATATACACATTATATGAAATTTCATTTTATGCAATATTATTTTCTTTTAACATGAGTTTCATGATTTTGTTCTTGTTGGGTTCAGTCTAGTAAAACCATTTGGTGAGTAGCTAATATTTCTTTAAATTTTTATACTGCATAATCAACAATGCCAGATATCAAATATTATATTGACAAATGTCACTTAGAATCAATATGTACACAGAAAAATTTAAAGAAATTTTAGTGTTTCTATTTTTTATATGAACTCTGCATAAAAAAAAAAGAGAGTAAGATTGCATAAGATGAAACTACATTGATTGTAATGTGTTTGCTTTGGATATATTGTAAGAAATTAAGTTATGCATGCAGAATAAAGTTGAAAAGAATAAAAAATAGGAATGAAATTTTAAAAAGGAACCACAAAGTTTAGATGACCCCAACCCATAGGTAAAATGAGGTATGTAGATTGGGGTAAGAAAAAAAATCTGTATGTGCTTTAGTTTATACTTTTCATATATTTAAAATTTTGATTGTAAACTGCTCAGACAACCTTTGCACCCCCACCCAAATTAAGATTAATATTTTTTTTCTGTAGATTTTGAAGTAGAAAAAAAAAAACAAAAAACTTTTCAGTATTTTTATTTTTAAAATGGTCAATAAAGATTATCTGTCCATTTGCATTCACTATTTACCAAGAATATGAAAAAACTTGTATACATACTCCCATAGAGAATAGCTATCAATCCATCATTCAAATACAAGCCAGTCACAAATCTGAAAGTAAATCTAATATGCAAAAATCAATTATTTTTTTTTCATTATTTCACCTTGATATGACTGTCCATACAATCTTTTTGTTCAAGGTAGATTGTATATATTATATCATAATTATTATTTTTCAAATAAGTTTAGACATTCTTTATCCCCAGGACCTTAAATTAAAATCTCTGCTGTCCATGCAATATCATACAGGTAGATATGAAAATTTTACAATCAAAATATATAATGTACAAGGACATTTTTTATTCATTTCAATTTAGCAAGAATAGGGTTTAAGAAAATATCATTTGCCCCCAAAATTGTATACAAAACCCAGATATTTTCATTTCTGTTGAGTTTTTAGCATCATGTACTTTGAATAACTTCAAACTAATGTGGCACTTGATTCCACAAATTCCTCTAAAAGAATTCTTTAAGGAGATAAAATATGCTCTTATGCTCTTTATGTATTAATAATTTTGGATTTCAAATACAGAATTATCCTCCTTTAGAATTTCTTTACTGAAGATGATTTGTGCTTAAACACACAAAAAATAAATCTTCAAGGTACAAAACTAAAGTGGTACTCGCTAACACTGATTCCCATCCTAATTGAAGGAATGCAGGCAAAAGAAAAATTTCCTGTTTCTCTGAGCTTAATTGCATATATATCCAGAATTAACTTATTTTAATAGAGATTAAAGAAATTAGATTGAATTTTGAATGCTATTTTTCATTGTTTCTCATACAAGACTTTTCAAACTCAAATGACATATCTTACTTTTTCTTAGAATTATTTCTGTTTTACAAATTCTACATCCTATACTTTTAACATTTGTGACCAAAATTTCATTTTATTTATGGTTAAAAAAATGTCTGATCAGAATATGAGGTGAGATAATAAAATCTAAATCAGCCTAATTTATTCAATTTTTCTAGGTTTATGAAGACAAAAATAATGACATCCATAAACAGTTTCATCATAAATCTAGCTGTGAAAGACTTAAAAAAAAAAAAAAAAAAAAAAAGAAAACAAGTCTACATTAATTTTTTTTACTGCAAATATCACTTTAGAGCTTGATAAATTTTGAAGAAAAACAAATTCGGAACTGGAAGCCATATAACTTCACTTTGTGGGAGAGAGATAAATTGATCATTCATTCTTTATTGAACCATTCAAGTCATAAGAACCATAAAATTCCCAAATGGGGAATTAACGAGTTTACAAAAAAAAAAAAAAAAAAAAAAAAAAAAAGTAAATAAATAAAAGGAAAAGTGTTCAGAGAAACCTAACTTGCATGCAAGTGTGTAGGAATTAGTAATTAAACAACATGCATGTGTTTGTTAGGAATTAATGATGAAAAAACACTCCTCTTGTTAGCAAACTCAGTTTTACTCTTTTAGAGGGAAGATTTAGATAAAAAAAAATGAAATCATTAGTCTGTCAGTATGAATAAAGATTTTGATTACAGTATTTTCTTTTCAAATAATGGAGTCAAAATGGGCAGGGAAAACATTGCATCTGTTCATTTAATTTTTTTTTTTTTTTTTTAACTAAAATTGCTACACAAGTGCTGATAGTAATCACTGATTCAGAGACACTTTTTTTGTTTTTAAATAAATATAAATTTTATGTATATTTTTCAATTAGAAAAACAGTAGCACCTTTTTGCCAAATATATTTCGTTTTAAGTAATCCTTGGCAGCAACTTTTTGACTTGGTATATGTTTAATACTTTAAGATTTTTTTTAATTTAAGATATGAACAAATCAAAACATTTTGGTAGTTTTATTTATTCAGTTTTCTCAGAGACAATATTGGATAAGGTTTTTCCCCACCCATCTTCTCAGTCAAAATCATTTCATTCATACTCATTCTTGAATAAGATTTTATTTAAAGTTCTGTTAACCTTTTCTTTATTAAGGCTTTTTTTTTTTTAAACACAGCAGAATATAACTGGCAAAGCTCTTATTTTCTTTGAGAGAGTTATTAAATCCTCACCTTCCAAAAATGTCAATGTAGCACAGTATCAAATGCTCACAAAGGAACAAAAGTAATAAACTGATTACTTTTAGAATTAACAGCAGCAGAGAATGGTCATTGCCAAAGTTGAACAAATTATTAGAATTCTTCAATGTGTATATGCATATACGTTAACTTCACATTCATCTCCTCTTTTTCCAAAACAGTAAACCAAGCTAGCCATAAAAACTACTCAAGTAACTGCAGCTTGGTACACAAAGGATTAATATATACTTTAGGTGTGTTCAGTACCCATCATAATTTATAGATTTTACTATACCTTCTCAATAATATAATTATTGATACATTTGCATACACATTTCACACTTTAAGAACAAAAATTATGAGAGCTGTTGTCTGTTCATCTCATTTATTATATAAATTTTGAATTAATATCTGTAACCATTACTTTTTAGATATTAAGAATTTTGTATGCAAGTTGCAGTTTCTACCCACAACGATTAGCTCCATTCTCTGATGCCTGTTCGAATAATGCAGAACCTTAGAATGTTAATATTAAAAAGACCGTTAGTAGTTAAAGGGGAGGTAATTACGTGTGCCAAGAAATATACTGAAGGGAGACAATTCCAAACTTTGAAAAAAAAAAGATTTTTGCATGATTAAAATAATGTACATGAAAGAGACATAAAGAAACACACAGGTTATGGAACTCCATATTCATGATATGGATTAATATAGTAAATAAGTGTTAGACTTGAATTTGATGACAATATAATGCAAAAAATAATACATGTTGAAGAACAGACTGATGAATGTAGTAAATGAGATAAATTTATTTTATATCACTTATTTGGGCAACGTAACTTCATACACATTTGACTGTACCTCTTGAAATCTCCCTTTTTTTCCTTTTCTCTTTTTGGACGGAAGTTGGAGTCTAGATGTTTTTTTATTTTTTATTGATAATGATGAAATTACTAAGATAAATTTAAGAAGGACAAATGGTTAAAAATTAATATATGTATAGGTTTATTTTCTAGTCCATCGTTTATATAATAAACATGTTTGTGATGAAGTGGAGTGATACCTGGTAGCTTATGTCTCCAAGATTAAAAGTGAAGAAAAAAAAATCTATTGCACACCAGTTAACATAAGTTAATTATCTCCCTTAGATTGACAAACTTGCTAACAATGGTCTTTTCATGATCTAACTTATCTTTCTAATAAGAATCTTTGGAGCTGCAAAAATTAAATAGTTTGCCTAGCTCTTTGATTAAGAATTTCTCCATTTATTAAAGAAAAGTTAGCCAACAGCAGGAGACGGCTGTTAACATACAGTTACATGCATCTTTAAAAAGTTCTTCTCTTAAAATTACAAATTTTGGCAAAATTTTATGTTCTTGTTCAACTCTGGGTTAAAAGGGATGAGGGAATGGTAGACAATATTTTTTGTGTATTTGTTTTTATTATGTTTTTTTTTTTTTTTTCCAATCTCTAGGTTGCTAGAGTTAAATAAAAATTGATAATTTTCGGCGTATTTTTGGAAAAAATCCTGAAGGCCATTTCTTCAACAATGCCAGAGTTCTGCTGTGATTTCGTAGTCAGCTAGTGCTGCTGACATGCACCACGCATGCACCAGCCCTGCCGGTGCATAAGGATGCAACCTGTAACAAAAAAAAACAAAAAAACATTTATTTAACACTTTAAATTATGGCTTAAAAGCCACCCTATTGAGCAGCATTTAAGCTAGCTCCTGCAGAGGACCTTCATCACAATAGGTAAGGAGTAGATGCGATAGGCAACAATAAGCTATGCAAGAACTCAAAATTGATTGCTGCATTTAAGTATTGCATTAATATTCAAGCTTATCTTTTAAAAGTTCAACAATAATTCTTCTGCCACCACTTAATTTAAAGACAATTTGATGTATTTGATTACTTTCTGTACAAAGAATTCATTTTATTTCATGGGCGACTTTCACTGGATTTTGCATTTAATTTCAATTATTCCAAAATTTATTTCCAAGTTATAAAAATTATTATTGTACAAAAAACTCGTCGCAAAAAATCAATTAAAAAAAAAAAAAAAAAGAAAGAAAGAAAAATCGCCAAAACAATCAGTAATGAAAACTTGGGAATCAAAAATTTCAAGATTTTGGGTCCAGATTGATCCTTAGATCCTTAAAAAAGGTCCTTAGGTACAATAACTACATATAAATATTCTGGAGTTATTCTACATGTAATTGTCATACAGAAAAGCAATTACTTTGTTTGTTTTTCTTGAGTGAATAACATTTTCTCTATAAAGAATTTTTTCAGTTTATGACAGTTGTGTATACTTTTTTTAAAAATCTGGATGTGCCTAAACAAGTGAATATTTTCATTGTCTTCATTTTGTTAAGTTATAATTTTGTATCAGTGACAATAGAGAAAAAAATTTTTAATCTTGAGTTAAAAAGAAATTGTAAAATAGGAATTAGGACATTTTTTTCTCTCTGTCTCTTTAAAAATAGTTTGAGAAATATTTTAGACCAATATTAAAAAAATAAAAATTCATATACAGTGACAAAAAATACCAACTGACTAATTTCCCTATATTAGAAAAGCATTTATAGGAGTATTTTGCAATAAAAATGTCATTAAAAAAAATTTGAGCTTTTAGTTTCTTTAATTACAAATTCTGCCATGAAATTTCAACTTTCTCACTCACACAAGTCTTAATCAAGAAAATAAAAAATAAAAAGGTAAAAAATGTATATACCTTTGTCCATTCATTGGTCACTGGATCATAACATTCAACATCATGCAAATATTGTTGACCATCATAGCCTCCGACTGCATAGAGGCGATCACCAAGTAGGCAAACACCAACAGCGTCACGTGGTGTGCACATGGGTGCTATCATTGTCCATTGATCAGTTTTAGGGTCGTACCTAATGAAAATAATGTTTAGAAACATTTGATTTTGGAAAATGATTATATATAATAGAGCCATCACTTTACACATTTTGCTGTTTTATAATGTTAACATAAATCAAGTTTATAATTGTAACATGATTTTAAAACTAATAATGAAAATTAGACTTCTTTTTTTCTTTTTTTTCTTTTTTTTTTTTAAGAGAGAGAGAGAGAGAGACTGAATATTCTTTATGTTGGGAGGATTAAAAATAAAAATTATTTTCAAATGAGACTATGGTACAAAATTTAATGTATAGAAATGAGTTTAATTCATACCTTTCAGCGCAGTCAAACCGACAGCAAGTTGGATTAGATGCCGGGGCCTCATGGCCACCAACTGCATACAAAAAGCCATTGCATGTACTAACACCAACCCCTCCCCTCCGCTTGGACATGGCTGTACATGCAGTCCATTTGTTTGTGTGAGGGTCAAAGCATTCTACTGACTTCAGGCAAGAGCTGCCATCTCTACCACCAACAGCATACAGCCTGTAAAAGATTTTATCTATTTAAGTAGTGCATTTTTGTATTTGTTTTAGTTATCTAAGACAATAACAGTTGCAGTTTCACAGATTAGTAATGAGAGTGTAGAATAAACATTTTCCCCTGCTTTTCTGTTAAAAGAAATCAAAATCAATATTTTATTTTTTTAACCAATTCAAAAAAAAAAATAATTTTCATACAAACTAAAAATATAATCCAAACTCTTAGAATATACAAAAAGGTGGGAGATAAAAAACGTTTAGCTATTCCTTTGTGAGATTTTATTTCTGCAGTGCAAAAACTATATACAACTGAAATGTATACCAAATATTGGACTATATATTACAAGAACTCTAAGTTTTTCAAACTATTATCTTAATCTTCCTCATTTCTTTCCCCAGCATTCTAACACAGCAGCATTAACTTTTAGAATGAAAGAATTAGTCAAATTATTTTTCTTGCTTCTAATTTTCAATACTAAGTATTTCATAATTCTATTTTCTCTATTACTCTGGTATTTCAACACTATATTTGCTACAACTTACTACAATAAAATATATCAGTAAATATAAAGTGTTCTATATAAGCATGTTAGGTATGTATTATTCAGAAGATAATAGTATTCTGTTATCATAGATTCTGACCATTTACTCTAGTAGACTGGATAAAATTCAGTTCATTTATTTATTATTTTTTTTTTAAGAAAAAGAAAAATTTAAAAAAATATATAAATAAAGGAAAATGATGAAATACTGATTAGAAAAGTTAACTTACTTTCCACCAAGTACTGCCACGCCCACGGTGCTTCGTGGGGTGGACATAGGGGCCACATAGCTCCACTGTCTGGCTTGAGGGTCCCATCTCTCCACAGTATTTAAATATGACCAACCATCATGCCCTCCAACTGCGTACATTGGACCTTCAAGTACTCCAACACCTGGAAAAATAAAATAAAGTCATTAATATGAATAAATCAATGGACAATATTTTATATATATTAAAACTTAAGCAAGCATTTACTAGACTGATCCAATTTAGTTTGTTTATATGGCCATATTTATGGAATATTATCAAGGTAACTACTGTAGAATGATGAATGCTTGTCAAACATGAGTATACGTTTCTTTTAACATTGGTTAGTTTCCTCCTCTGGTGACTCTAGCTTTTATTTATACTATATATTTTGACAAGATTAATGACAAAAATCCTTTATTCATGCTAGAAAACAATTATATTTCTGAATAACATTCCTGTGTTTAGAACAGAGCCTTAAATTTCAGGGTTAGTTTTATGAATTGGTCATGCATCAAAATTTTGACAGTCAATTTTGTGACTTAGTTTGGGAAAATCTTTCATCTCAGAATGGCAGGAAATATGCCCCAAAACTTAGAGTGTTCTTTTTAGTAGATGGAGTTGACAACTGGTACAAAGGTGATTAAATAGGCAGGTGTAAATTTGGGTGTGGAGAAGTGTTATTGGTAGAGAGAGGGTATTTTAAAATAATATAACAGTAATTAGAAATGATTTTTCTATTTCTTCTCAGAAGAATATTTGGCCGAGTCATATGTAATTCTCCATTATCTTAACTAACCATTCCTTAGATATATTATAACAGATGATGAAAAATGCATTCAACATAAAAGCAGTAGATTGACATCTAAATCTCTACCGCCAACTGAGCTCAATGAAAGAAATTAATGCTGTGCATGTGGTGTAATTGTTGGAATACTGTTTGTTCATAGCAATTAAACACTAAATTCACATTTATACACCCAGATTAAAGAGTTTGTTAAAACTCCTTTCACATCAAAACCTGTGGACTTTTACTCAAAAGATATTGAAATTGATACATAATAGAAATTATTTATGACTCAATAGTGTAAATAAAAAAAAAAAAAGGAGTGTATTCACGCCAGGTGAGGACAAAAAGAAGAGTTAGTACAATGAGATGAAAAACTGGAGAATTTAAACCATTTTTCATTAAGGATGAACTGAGCTAGAGATTATTAAGACAAGTTGGAAAATGTGGAAAGGGTGTTGAACATTTCCCAGCAAAACTTGAACATTGAGCACAGACCAAAGAAAGAAAAGATTTTCAAGTTTGGCAAGCCATCTTGCTAAAGCTGAAAAGATGAGGATGCCATGAGCAACAAGTATTTTTTTCATGAAAGATTTCAGATTAAGTCTTAGTTTAAAGTAGGGGAAATAATCTTTTATAGGAGACCTTCAATAAAACTCATGATTATAACTGGTAGCATGAGAAAATACTAAACCTTATAATAAAAGATACAGAAAAATAAATTCATTATGATTAATCTTGCCTTCTATTAAAGTGGATAAAAACATAAAATAATCATATAATATAAAATAACAGTGTGGCATTTTCTACATGTTTCTCTGTAACTTGTCATACAAAAAGCAAACATTTATATAAGAATGTCCATCAGGGAAGTAAGCAGGAAAAGTGTCCTGATATTTGAACAGCATGGTAAACTTAACTGACAAAAAGTTAGGCAGAGTGCACATATACTACACTAACCCAAGGCAGAGGGTGATCCATACATAAAATCATTTATAAATTAATTTTCCAGTCATTTATTTTTTTCCTTACTGGTGATGATTGTAGTAGTGGTAATAATAAGATTAAAGGAAGTGGATAATCTGATAATGGATCACAATTATGTAGGTCTGCAGTCATATCTGACTAAAATAGACAAAACAATTTACATGCAGCAAAATGATCACCTCTTCCATTCAAAAGAAATCCCTTGATAACAAGAGCTCTGGATAGTAATATCTACATGGTGCAGCAAAATGATCTGACACATTTGTAAATTTAATAAAAGCAAAATAGAGTAAAGAACAAAAAATGTGTTTTAATGTACATATAATGCCATTTTGTTTTCAGCTGTCAACAAATTGGATGGAAAAGCATCACACTTTCTCCATAGAAACATTTATCAAGAACAATAAATTGGTAACTGCAACACAGAGTGTTGGCCTGCTCAATCACTTGATTTGAACCCATGCGATTTCTTTTCTGTGGGGATACCTGAAATCAAAGGTATACATTCATTGCCTTCAATCTATTGAACAGTTAAGAAGAGATTGCTACCATTCCACTTGAAATGATTTGTTGAGTTATGGACAACTTTTGTGAACACTTTCAACAGAGTGTGGAAAGTAATGGCACCCACTTGACAGATTTACTTTTTAAAATGAAATGAAACAAAATATGTACATTTTGAAAATAAAAACACATTTTTCATTCTCTACTTTATTTTGCTTTTATTAAACCTAAGAATGTGTCAGATCATTTTGCCACACTCTGTACAAATGGATATAAAAATTATTTGAATTTCTCAGATAAAACTGTCATTATTAATGACCTTTTTTAGATCATTTGAATGACCTGATTAAAAGTAAAGTCTGAATATTTAGTATTTATTATTTGTAAATGAATGACAGTACAGGTAATGGAATATGTTTGGCATTATACTAAGAGCTACAAAAGAATAGGAAGAGACATGACACGCAAGAATAACAATAACCACTATTTAATGATAGCATACAAAAACTACAGATCAAGATGAAAGAAAAAAGCTAGTCAACAACTGATAATGTTACATCTATGAATTTCAGACAACTCTAAAACAATCACATCTAATATTACTTGTGTCAATAACCAACATGGCATAAAACACTCACCTAATCCATGCCTGTGTGTTGACATTGGAGGCATTGAACTCCAGGTCTTACGTTTAGGGTCATAGCACTCAACTGTGTTGAGTGTCTTCAAGCCATCTCTGCCACCAACAACATAAAGACGACCTTCAAGAACTGCAACTCCAAATTGCAGTCGTCGTCCATTCATGTTGGCAACTTGAGTCCATGTGTTTGTTCGGAGATCATATTTTTCAATTGTCGTTGCACCTGAAAAAAAAAATCCAATATCATGAAAAATAATATGGAGTAATGAGGCACAAGGTTATGAAAAAAGAAAAAAGAAGGAAACTTAGGAGTTGTCAGTTTGTCTGACTACCCTTGTGCTTAGCTTAATTTAGAACAGAAGGTTCCCAAACTTTTTAGGCCATCAACCCCTTTGTAGAATCCATGTTCCCTCATCAACCCCAGGCATACATAAAAAAAGCATGAATTAATCATTATTTTTATTTAAAAAGGTACAAATTCCTTTGCTCTTCTCCTTCATTGTTTCTCAATAAGATTCATTTTACCTTTACATTTTACTTTATTCTTTTTTCAATTTCTATTTCTATACTAGATGTTTGTTATAATAATAATAATGATTGTGGCGTAATTTAAGCGTATTAAGCTACAGGAAGGTGGAAAGAAGAGAAGATGAAGTCTTTGACAGTTTGTTTTGATGTCCAAGCTAGTTAACATGTAGAATTTAAATTGTTCCCCCTCCTCATTGATATCATTTCTTGAGTAGGGAGGTCACTGTAGATTACTCCACATCCCCCATTGTTTTTTTTTTTGTTGTTTTTTTTAAACTTTTTTCAATATGAAAGTCTAACAGGAGGTCAAACCTTACAACCATATCTGGTGTGAACTGACAGGCTAGTGCCATTGGCAACAGACTTTTCAATTTCAGTTATTTGGGTTTCATGTTGTTCCCCTAACAAATCAACTAGACTGTTTCTCCAACTGACGTCCAAAACAGGTCTTGATTGACGCTGCAATGTATTGGAAGTTTGTGGGTTGTTAACTTTCATTGATAATGGCTGTTTAGTCATCTGCCTTAGGTGAAAGGTATTTCATCATTGAATTCCACTGTCTTAATTAGGACAGAACTTGGTGAAGCAGGTTTTACAATGACTGCTCATGAGGTTTTTGGCATTTTAACCCACACAGGCTGTCCTTCAGTTAGATTAGCGTGAACCTTTGTTTGATGTCTTAGATCATCTAGCTTTAATGTCGTTATCAATTCTTTTGAAATTTTTGTAAAATTTCCATTGAGACAAACCTTTGGAAAACAAAATGGGAATTGCTGGGATCCAAGTATATAGATTCCTATTCATTAACAATTTTAGTGGACTAAAACCATGTTTCAAGAGGGTATTCCTGTAATTCGGAAGTGCTATGTATTGATCACTTGCCTTTTTTAATAAGTTCTTCACCATCTGAACTGCATGTTCAGATTCTCTATTTCCTTGTGGATAAAATTTGAGAAATTTAAAAATTCATTTGAGCTGAACTGAGGACCATTATCAGATACTACTATCTCTGGGATACCTTGACTTGCAAATATTGACTTGCAGTGTTCAACCGCTTTGATAAAGGTGGTCTGTATGAGTGTGAGATTTCTATCCATCTAGAGTAGTAGTCAACAATTGAAAGATACTGATGTCCCTTCAGTTCAAATAAATCCATAGGATTATTTGCCATGGGTAGTTTGGTAACTTTGTGGGTTGGAGTAGGATACCTTCTATCCTTGGCACATATGGATCTTCTACCTTCTTTGCTATTTGCTTTGATAATCCCAGCCACCATACTGTATCTCTTGTTAGTGCTTGACACTTAACAATTCCCCTTTTGTTCTTCATGTAAACAATCTAATATTTCTTTCTGTAATTCTACTGGAATGACAAGTCTGGTCTGGTACAACAAAAGTCCTTGTTATACTGATAAGTCTTGGCATACAAACCAATATAATTTCAGTTCAGGACCTTTTCTGACTAACAATGGCCAGTGTTCTACTTTACAAAATTTTATGACCTGATTACAGATACCATCTGATAACTGCTTTATTCTAATTTCTTCCAGAAATTGATTACTTATTGAAATATTAGCAGTTACTGAATTAACAAACAAGTCTGTTTCAGATTCATTCTGTATATCCTGACTAGTTGGACTACTAGTAGGAGCACAAGATAAAGCATCAGCTGTTACTAGTTCTTTTCCTGGTATGTAAATGATATTGTATGAGAACCTCATTAGTCTCATTTGAAATCACTGGATCCTAGGGTTCAATTCATCCAGACATTTCATTTTTTTAGAAGTATCAGAAGTGGTTTGTGGTTAGTTTCTATAATAAACTTTGGTAACTCAACTAGGAAATCTGCAAACTTCTTGCAGCACCAGGTAACAACTAAAGCCTCTTTTTCAAGTTGAGCACATCTTTGCTCAACATAAGCAATCTTGATGTGCAAAACACTGGTCTCCATTCATTGCCTCGCTTCTGCAGAAGAACCCCACCTAAGCTGTATGTAGATGAATCTACTGAGACCTTCGTCAGATTATCGGCGTTATAATAAGTCAGAATTGGTGCAGAACTCAACATCTTTTTTAGAGTTTAGAATGAAAATTCTTGTGGATCTTCCCAAGTCCAAGTGTTTTCTTTCTGCAGTAAATTTCTGAGAGGTTTAGTAACATCTTCTAAATTGCTTTGACTTTCTCTGGGCCAATTTGAATGCCATCTTTTGTTATGATGTGTCCAATAAACTTTATGCTACTGACAAAAAAAATACATTTTTCATTTAATTTGCCTTCATTTTTTTTTTTTTTTTTTTTTTTTTTTTAAGAACTAGTCTTAGTTTGTTATTGTGCTCCTGTTGGTTCTTTCCACCCACAATATCTCCAGGCTGCTGTTAATACTGAATGGTAAGCATGTGTAACAAAATCTTCCAAACAGTGTTAAAAATGTCAGTTCTTGTGGAGATTTATGAAAATCACTGTTGCAGTCTAATCTACTGAAAATTGTAGCTCCGTTCAGCTGGTGGTAACCTGGTCCATACAGTTGTTTGTTATATTTGTGAATAATTGGGAAGTTTTTCCTAAAATAACTACTGGGGACTACCGTTACATCTGCTCTAGTATCCAGATTGAAATGAATTATTTTACTACATAGCTTTGTAGTAATTTTAACTTAGCTTGCCAAGCTTCTACGATGACTGTGTTAATTCTATCATTAGTAGTAATAGATCAAAGGACATAGTGTGGCTCTTCCTCATTTCTCAAATTTTAAACCTACCAGTCTTACACATTTTTGTATAATGTCCTTTTCTTGAACACTTTCGGCAAATTGCATTTTTGGCTGGACAATCGTTTTTGTGTGCAAGATGGAATATTGCCACAGTGTATACATTTAGTTGTACTGCTTTTATGGTGTACTGTATTTTGAGACTTCTTTTTATATTTCTTTGGCATTACTCTGCTAATGTTTGCTTCTGTTACATTTGTAACTAACAAAATATTTTGAGATTGTTGTTTGGAGGTTTCATAGGCTCTTCTTATGTCTATACATTTGTCTAGGGTAAGCCTTTTATCCTTTAAAATCTATTCCCTGTCTGTATCATCTTTAACCCCTACAACTATTTGCTCTTGAATTAGCCTGTCTTGCATTTCCCCAAATATGAAATTTGTAAGCTTTGTAATGCTTCATGGATTTCGCCAAAAAAATTATAATAATAATTCTTTGAATTTCTTTATTACTACTTTCAAATTTTCTTTCTCCTCTTCATTATCAAAGTTCAACCCCTTGTAAACTTGCTGATCACTATTTATGTGTCTTCTATTATTGACAAAAAGACCAATGTTTGGTATGTACTATCTGGTTCTTTGTTGAGCTGACTGGCTTTTGAATAATTTTGAAAATTTCAAATAAACTTTTTCCAGTTAGTTGCCAAATTCCCTGATAAAACTATTTTTGTAGGAGGTTGGAAATTTGCTGTAAATTGCCTTTGGTTATTGTGTCTTTTGTCAGAATGTTGTGCAATGGACAAACTGTGAATTGGAATAAACATCTCCTTTAATAAAAGAAAGAAAACAAATTTGTTTTTCTTTTTTTTTCTTACTTTATAAAAAATGCAAAGAAATTTTTTTTCTTTTCTTAAAAATAAAAAAATAAATGACTTACAATTCCTTGCAAATTTTTTTTAGCCCACTTGCATATTCCAATGTCTTTTTTTTTTCATGGTAACTTTTTTGTTTTTTTTTAACACTATGTAGCATAAATTCTTCCTGACACCAGGTGGCATAATTTAACTGTATTAAATTACTGGAGGGGGAAAGAAGAGAAGATGACTGTTTTAACATCCAAACTAGTTAACATATAGAATTTAAATTGTTTCCCCTCCTCCTTGATGCTCCATTTTTTATAGGAAAGGGCATATGCCATTTTTTGACAAGAGAGGTCACTGTAGATTATTCCATAATGACGAGAAAAAAAAATCATAATAATAAACATAAAATAATAAATATACCTTTTTTATTAAATTGGTTGGTATCATTAATGGGAAAGAGGATGTGTTTGATGAGCAATAGCAAGGGCATTGATATTTGGTTAGAAATTGGTGAATTTTCAACATAAGTCACCACAATTTGTTTATTGACCTCCCTTCTGACTACTAGGTATTTATTGAAGTCTGAGTAGTCCCTTTAACTCTCAGCAGTTGATATCAACTACTTTGGTCTAGCACAAGACACAAAATTCAAGGCACCCAGTGAAGAGCAACCTCACTACAGTAGTAATGATATGTAAGATTAACTTGCGGATCACTATTTCATGGTGGATGCACAAAACAAAATCTAGGCATCTGTGAAAAAAAAATTGCCATAAAAAAGTTCTTTGTGCTAAGAAACTGCCACTAACAGATAGTAATATTGATAATGAGGACAGGTTATCAAGATTTATGGTCAATGACAGAATTATTTCAACAGAGTTCATAAAAAAGAAACAGTGAATAAAGGATACCAGAGAGAAAGGAAAAATGATATCCAAACTGGCTATTAATGAGTTCTGTAATTATTTCCTTACATAATAAACATAACTTCTGTTTTTGTTATGAAACTTATTATCTCATAATTGGCATAAAAGAAATGTATTTCATGTGTTTTTTTTATTGATTTAGCAAGAAATAAATCTCATGTATCCTTTGGTTAGGAAAATTTACAATTTCATACATAACCTAATTGTTTATTTTTAACTATCGGAAATTAAGAGCGAGTGAATTTTTTTATGTTACCTTTAGTGTTGTCCATGGCCCCCACCGCGTAGAGAACTCCTACTGTAGACTTGCGTGGTTTGGTCCGTGGACTCTGGAATGAGGAACGGCGTTCTGGCAATACATGGTACATTAGTGCCTCCATAATGAGGTCCTGGCATTCTTTATCATCCCAAAAGATGGGATCTGATCGAACATGGTCGGCTATGAACTAAGAGAGAAGAACACACACATTTTATACAAATTTATATGTAAATATAAAAGCATGGAAATAATTATAAGACACCCTATAAATTTGCTCATAATGTTTTTTTTTGCTAAAATGATGCAACAGTTACAATTGAAAAATAAAAATAACATTCAAAATATATTTTAGCAATTTAAAGAAAAATCAAAAATAAGATTTTTGTATGAAAATAAATATAAGACAGTTCTTTAAATACTTGCTGCAATTTTAGGAAAGTTTATTTCTCTGGCAAAATTTGCAAGTTGTTGCTCAACCTTGAATGTACTTCAAAATGACATAGCAAAACTCAGACAAAGCAGAACTGTTGTAAGCAATTTTCTCAAAATCCCCAAGAAATAAAGCATGAGTAAAAGAAGACAGCAAAGGTATGAAGACGCTTGCTTTGATAGGCATCTAAAAGGACAAGCATGCTCGAAAGACTTGCAGAACCAAATCCAGCTAAATATGACTCCCATGTGTGTACAACAAATATCAAATGAAGAAAGAAGAAACTATCTCTGAAACAACTTCTTAAGAAAAAGCAAACTGAATGGGTGAAGGAGAATGTCACTTGGGGACAATAAAAAATGGTCTGATGTGGTATTTTTCTGATGAAAGGAAGTTTAATTTAGACGGTCCAAATGGGATACAATGTGGATGGTTTGATTTATGTTAAGAACAGATAGTCTTAACAAAAAAAAAAAAAAAAAAAATAGCTGTGGTTTTGTTATGATTTGGGGAGCCTTTTTCTGCAAATAATACTATATTGCCAGCCTGGCAAAATGTGGGGAAAGTAGGTTTAAGTCTTAGAGAAAAAGGAAACTTGATTCCATGTATCAAAATTAGTGATGAAATTCTGGTCCTAATATTGAATAATCTATTATCATTAATGCAAAACAGATGCACAGATGTTTTACAAAGGAAGGGAGCCTGCTTCAAGTATTAGAAACTGCAGAACTTATAAAAAATTATTTTTTAACCCAAGATGTCTATATTTATTTCAATACTATATAATTTTTAGTTTTTGTTAAAAAAGAAAGAAAAAAAAAAACTTTTATAGTTGATGATTTTGAATAACTTTTCTTTCATTAATGAAATTGTGCTCAACAGACAGCAGAAACAATATTTCATGCTTAAACACAAGATTTATTGCCTGACTGTCACTGCTAGGTGTTGACCTCCATGTCTACTTTTATATTTACATATAGTCTATCCCTGATATTGAGCACTTTAACCCATAAATATAGTATACCTGAAAACAATATTTTTATCATATATACAATGTGGCACAGATAAATCCAGAGTTTTTATGTAGTAACAGTGCCATGACATCACAGTGTAGTGGGGTTTCAAGAGTGCCATTAGAAAGTACTACACTTCAGTAGCTGTCTGGTCATTGACACGAGAGGCACTTAGTAATTGACCTATCTACAGAAAACGATTGTCGAGCTGCTGTTGTGGAGAGCCTTCACATTGGCCACAAAGCCAAGGAAATCATTGAATAGTTTAAACCTAAAACCATGGTCTATGACCTGGCAAAGGCATATGAGGACTCAGATGACAAAGACGATTTCAGGCCAAAACCCATGACTCATAAGAAATGCTTTGGCACCACAAGGATGCCCAAGTTTGTCGCCAATATGTCTAAGATTGTCAAGGAGAACCTCAGCAAAAGCATGAGGAAAATTGCCAAGGAAATGGGCACCAGTAGGCAACACAATCAGGCATATTGTCAAAGAGGACTTGAATTATAAATCTTATGCACTCAAGAGACACCACTTGCTCACCATACCACAGGTCACCCAACTTATGCCTCCCACCTCATAACCAGACTGTAATTCTTTCTCCAATATATTATGCGAGTGTCTTGGAGAGAGTAAACAGTAGGCCCTACAACAGCAAAGAGTCTCAAGGCAGCCATCAGGGATGGAATCACCAAGGCCTGCTCCAGCTTCCAGTTATAAGCAAATTTATGGAGGATCTTAGTACAAAGCCATGAAGAGAAATAAAATTGACTAAACTTCCCATCAAAATCAACAATGTGTTAACAGCTTTAAGCTATGACAACCAAAGTAGTTATGGGAAAGTGGTTTGCCCAAATATGGGACCTCATACAAAGAATAGTCATTCTGCCTTTCCCAAGTGAACATAAACAGCCACAGCTAGAATTTGACCATGATTTGCAGATTTCATTTTCTGAGCAGGTAAGTGTGATGATGGATAGTGTGTAAGCGAGGTTTACTAAACAGACTTTTCTGAAACCCATATGCAAATGTACTTAAAATAAAAGTTAAAAGATATGTAGTTATAACTATACCGGTCTTCTTTTTTTTAAAAGATAAAAAAGTGGCTGCTGTAGAGTAACAATTAACATTTGACAGACCATTGGCAGTCTAATGTATTTGATCCACACAGGATGCCCATTAACATTATTTCCCTTACAAACAGCAGGGCTATAATTTTATTTTATTTTAGTAATGTCATTAAAGATTTTTCCCAATCTTCATCTAACATTTTCTAGTTTAGCATACCTTTGGTAGGGAGAATAATGTACATAAATATTCTACCTGTAAGAACTTGGTGCAACTGATAAAGAAAAGGAGTAGAAGTTAAATAATCTAAGGTTCTATACTATATTGCCAGTCTTGGTAGGTTATTAATTAAAAATCAGTGCATAAAACTTTTACACTAAATTTTTATTTTTGTCAGTAAAAAATAAGTAAAAAAAAAAGCATGAAATGAAAAATAAGATTTTTCCTTTTTTATGTTACCCTGAACAGACACATAATTTTAGAAATGTGTCAGACAATTACAATAAAATTTTATCCTTACTGAAGACAAAATTTAGATTTTAATCAGGTTGTAAGATACCTCTCAGTCCCCTTTAATATTTCAAATTGGTCAAGAATGCACAATGCCTAGATTCCTACAGAAGAATATACAGATATAAAAGCATTAACAGCACAAACTCATAAAAAAAAGAAAACCTGAGAAGCATCTCTCTCACACACAAACAAAAAAGGGGCATCCTTTCTAGATTTGGTCCATTTATAGTCTATACTATTTACAGATTACATATGATTAAAAAGAAACCTCATCTATAGAAGAAAAGGAAAGGAGAGATATAATGGCCTTTGTGAGACTAAAAAAAAGTATCAATTTTCTCTTCAGTCACATCATGAAGAAAAAGAGAGCAAAGGGATCAATAAATAAAACCCTTGATAACAAAAACCGATTACTAAGAGGACAAAAATTCCTTTAGTCCAATAATTTTATCAAAAATCCAAAGGGACTGTATAGTTTGGCTGTCACAACATTAATCAACTGAATGATGAATAGTGGAGTAAATGTTTGGTAATAGCTATTGGAAGCAAATCAGAGGAACTTTAGAAGGAAAAAATAATCTGTTATTCAGTCATTCACAAATGTTCAACTCAGTTCATATCTGACTGACAGTAATAGATAATGTGGAGCTGAAACACATTTACCCATTTATAGTAAAAAAGTTAATATTTAGTAAGATCGAATTGTTTGAAATAAATCACTATCTTAAATTATTCTATAATTAATGGATATCACTTGATTCACACAATTCATGTTGCATCCTTTAATATTTCCCTTTTGAATTGACATATATACTGAAATAAAATGTGTTTTCATAATCCTTGAAGAACCTCAGATGGAAATCTTGAAATGCATTTTCACCTTTATTGAACATATATCATAAAAAATATTATTAGTTTGAAAAGTTATTTATTAAAATATTAATACTTATAATTACATTACAGAAATTTTAATCCATTTGTAATTCAACAACCTAATTAAAATGACAAGTTACTTTTGAAAACATGCACCCATTTGGGGGATCCTTATATTCATAGATCACTAGTGTATGGCTAAAAAAATAGCCAAAGCTTTGTCTTTCCAATCATTTAATGAAGCTCTACATAATTCTAGCCATTATAAACCAAGGAAAGAAAAGTTGTCAGATTGTGTATGTAGTCATTCCAACAAATCAGATTGTGGCATTGAAAGAATAAAAAAAAACTTGAAATTGCTAGAAATTTGAGGCAGAATATAACTGGCCATGCTATTGTTTCCTGATCAGCTTTGGTGCGATCACCCCAAAAAGGATTTTAGGGAGATTATTATTAGTCAGCAGATAATAATTAAAAGAAAAGAAAGGGGAGCTAAGGACATTGCATTGAAAGAAACTCAATTCTGATATGAACTCGGGTTAGACTATAGTCTCAAAGGCGGGAACATAGAAATAAGCATTAAGGTCATTGCTTTTACTATCGTGATGATGCACACACAAGGACTGATGGGTCAATCCCATTTGACAAACAACTGTATATGGTATTTTTATAAATTTATCAGTGTTAAGAATAAATATCCCAAACTTGATAATCTGAGCATACAGTTTTAGAACCACCAATGATAATTTTAAGTAATTGTTAAACTCTATAATTTTATAAATAAGGAAAGAAGTTTTACTTTTCATGAAGAAATAGTATTAAAAAACATTAAAGCCCAAATTAATTAACATCTACCAATTCTATTTTCTCCTCAATCCCTTTGCAGTCAAATAACTTCAATTTTTTTTTTTTTTTTTAATTAAAATCATCCTTCAGTTTTTTTTTTTAAATTTGGAACTCACATATATGGTAAATCAAAGCATAAATTTAATGTTTAATTTATTTTTATTTAAAAGCTATGTCATTTTAAGATGCCAGCAATCATGACTTTCCATGGAGATATTTTTATTATCTTTGAATTTTCATGTATTCTTGGGAAAGACAGTATTTCCCATTGCCACCTTCTTGGTTTGGAATTCAGAGTTGACTTTCTATTAGACTGGCACCTCTAACTTTGGGTAACAACCAACTAACCTACCCTTCTATTTAACCAGAAGCTGTAAAAACAAAGAGACGGATTTATATCTTTCCACAGGGTATTAGTGCAGAAGTGAATGCACAAGACTA